GTTGGAAAGGGATATAATTTCTTCCTAGACGTTAAATCTACGCATAATATTAGTAAAACAAATATTTTACATGCTGTTAAATACGATATAAACTCAAACTATGAAGAGAAATAATTTTAGGATTTATTGAATTCCTGTGCCGTTGTTAAGCTCTGACAAAAACACAAACATACAAATGATAACGTTTTATCGGTTATATGTAAGAACTACCTTGCATAATTTAAGTTGGATTTATTTCTCTATATCTAATGTCATATCGAGCATGAAGTTTAGTTTCTTATTCCAGTATTTTACACTTTTTTATTTGATCATCCAAATAGGCTGCTGTTCCATTGGAATTTGTTATAAATGTTGTTATTTTGCTAACAAAATAAATTTTGCACAATATGGTTACTATTGTAGTCTCCTGATTCTGGAAGTTAACCGTAGCTACGTATAATGAGATTCTTACTACGTAAACCTAACAATATAATTATCAACATGGTTTAACTTGCAAAATTTGGATATGGTAAGTAGTAAGTTTACTAAAATAATTTAGTTAGTTGCTACACAAGCAAAGAATGTTTGAGCGTTTGTTTATTATTTAGTCTGTGTTTCAATTTTAATGTGGATATAACCGACCTTTTTATATGTATTCTTATCATCGTGGGCTTCGTTCTTTTTTAAATGACTTTTATCGGTAGTTCTTATAGTCTGTTAACTTTATCAATTACAGTTTTTTCTTTTACATTTACTTCATTTTCAAAATGTATTGAGAACGACTTCAATATGCAAATTTTCTAAAATTCTCTCATAATAATCTCAGTTTGTCTTTCAGATTGTTCGTTTCTTTTTTCTGTTACAATATAATGAGTTATACGTCGTTACAGAAGGAAAGAAAAAAGTAGAGAATAATGCATGAGAAAAACTTCGTATACATAATAAATACAAAAATAGTCTAAATATTCTGGATAATTTGAAAGATAGCCGAAAGTTTCAACCAGAAAAAGAAAAATATATATATATTAGTGTAGTTGTTCCAATACGTCGCAAGCTCTTGGTGAAGAAAAGCACACACAAAAAAATAAGTTTTACACTTGAAATTCCGAGCGATTCAAAGGTGCAGTAGATCCTGTGAAAGTAAAAAGTACGAAGTAACGGCGATTGTGAAAGTCTGTCAGTTGGCAACATACAAATCTCACAACGTCTTTGATTGGAACAATATGCCCATCCCATGAGAGTAATGTTTTCATTGGTAAAATTGTTTGTAAATCTAATCTGACTTTTATTAAACTTCTTTCTTCCAAACATCAACTAAAACCTACATTGAAGAACAAAACCAAATCACTATAAGTCTTTATGGATTAGAACAGAGATAATGTTAGGAACATACACATCTCTGTGGCGTTTAATCGCCTGAACATTTCGAGAGAAGACGAGTTTTTAATTTTCAAACTGTAGTTTCTGCCGGAAGAAATTACTTCATAGATAATTAAAATTCAAATGCTAGAATTATTTTTCATGCTTAGTTAAGGTACCACGTTATGTAGAAACTATCTGTACATATCGTGATTAACGTAAGTATTCAAAAGTATTCATGTGTGTGTGTTCTGACAGCTTGGGGATTATTGTGGACGAATGCTTGAATGTGTAGTCGCAAGATGCCTTAGTTCCTGTTGCTTTACAAAATAATGTACAGTATTTTATACTAATATATGTGTGCACATATTGCCCAAGAATTAGTTTTCAGAATAAATGTTAAATAGATATCGATTTTATTTATACCTCTAACTTGTAGTTCTTATTAAGGTGTATTGGACTTTTACTGCAAATTTGAAAAAGAAATGAAAAAATACCACAGTGCCCCAGAAAACATTTATGCACCGAAGTTTTGCTATCACGGCTTCATCAGAGTATAACTATCATACAAATGACTGAGTTCAACTGAATACATGTTATGATAAACTACCCATGGCAACTTTAAGCTGGAGAATGATTCGTAAAAAGTGTAATAAGATAGATCGACACGTAAAATAAATCAGGAAAAACAATCTTAATCAAAGTGAACTACGAGATCTGAAAATAAATCTTAATTGTTAAAGAATCTTATAAGAGCAAATAATTTGGTTATTTCTGCCCAAACTTATGATGAAGAAGAAAATCAAGGAACATCTTAACGATTGTACAACTTGCACTCCTCTACAGATCAACCTAAGGAAACTGAAGAGAAAGCCAAATAATTTTTCAGACAGATAGAATAAAAAGAAATGTTATGCAAGAACTTTTATAAACTGAACAGTCTCATACCAGAAGTTTTTTTTTTTTTTACCGAGAGGTCACGTACCGGGCGTTAAGGCTCATCCTGTCTGCACTTGAGCTTATTACCGAAACATTACCTTGGCTTTTGCAAACAAACAATATAAAAGCACTGTTTAAATTTGTACCTCCTCACTGAATAACGGAGAAGACATTTTGTGTAGAATCAAAGACAGTAACCTTGATGTAATAGAACATGTTATTTTGTTCATTCTAGACAATGTGACATTTTATGCTTCCATTCGCTTAGAAGAGGGTATTAATGTTGTTTCTGTCGTTAACTGAGAACATGACGACAGCCAACTTAATACTTTGGCTTAATCAAGAACATCATCGAAATATTGCCAACATTCGTTCTTTGGAATGAATACTTTGGTTTTAGAGAAAAAAGTCACCAACAAGTAACAGAAGTTGCTACAGGTAAAAGAGAAACCGTCCCCTTTAACATTATTTTTATACGCATGCATGCCTTTAATTATTATCCAATGAAGACCAACACGAAATTTAAAATCTTACTCATGCCTAGTTGGTGTTTTTTTTAATAAATTAGTAATAACACCCACACTTAACAATTTACTATAAACTGTTGCAATAATTAGTAATAACATTCATTCTCAACAATTTATTATAAACTGTTGCAATAATTCGTAATAACATCCAATTATAACAATTTGCTATAAACTGTTACAATAATTACTTACAGTATTCACTCTTAACAATTTGTTAGAAATTGTTGCAATAATTAGTAATAACATCTACTCTTAACAATTTACTATAAACTATAACAATAATTAGTAATAACATCCATTCTCAACAATTTACTATAAACTATAGCAATAATTAGTAATAACATCCATTCTCAACAATTTACTATAAACTGTTGCAATGATTAGTAATAACATCCATTCTCAACAATTTACTATAAACTGTTGCAATGATTAGTAATAACATCCATTCTCAACAATTTACTATAAACTGTTGCAATGATTAGTAATAACATCCACTCTTAACAATTTACTATAAACTGTTGCAATGATTAGTAATAACATCCACTCTTAACAATTTATCAAATTGTTGCGTAATTTCAGGAAAATCAACTTCCTGGACGTCACATTGACTCTGGACTAACAAGAGATAACTCTATTAAAACCTCACAAAGAAGCCCCTCTTTCTTCATTACAACCCTCATCACCCCGATAAAATAAAACGTGGTGAAATAATTGACGAAGTAAAAAGAATTGACCAGAATTTTATACCAACGACGAGTCCAGAATGCCGAACTCAGTGAACATCTCAAATGAGTTCTTACAGTTAGTAGAATATTAAATTGAAAAATTGCTTCACAACACTAATGTACAGAACAAAGATAAGAGAGGGAACCAACAAATGCGCTTGCTATTCTTTTACAACTAAAACGTATTTGTTGAAATACCATTTTTCAAAGGAAACTACTGGTACTGGTGATCGTGTGTCACCTCTAACGTTGTTTATGAAATTAATGATGTGTCACATTCGTGTTTAAACATGTGTTGGTAAAATGAACACAGAACTTCAAATTTCAGCCAGAAATAGTTGCCGAAGCCGAACATTTCTATGCTAAACGTTTACCCACAATGTACACAAACACTTGTCGGATTTTAAAACTTGGTTTCATTATTAAGCCTAAATTATAGTTATATATATCTCTATATTTTTTCCATTATGTTTAAATTATTCCCCATGAAAATATCCATCTTTTATTTATTGTAAGGTTTATGTTGTTTATTTTTGGAAATAGATGCACAACAATAATAGTAGAACAGATTTACAACGCAATAATATTAACAAACAATCCGTATAACAACACAGCATGCTGTTTTCGAATTATTTTCTGCTTTCAGATCGGTAGAGTTAAACTAACTACACCTGTCGAAACTCCAAAGAATTTGTCTTGTGCGTTTAATCTCTGATGAAGCCATAATAAAAACACTTCAATAAAATACATGTTTTCTGGGATTTTCTGGTACTTTTTTAAATGTGTGGATGGTACCTATCTAAGTATAATTCTTTCTTTGTCCATCTATAGATCTATCTTTATGTGCTTTTATAAGCAACAGAAGACCAGTTTTACGTCATTTACTAAATAAAATAATATATAGGAACATTTGTGGTATCTATGCCAAGTGACACAAGTATGAAATGTTTAAACTTTGTAGCTAAATATGCATACACACATATAACCAAGTATATATAATATAGTATATACAAACAGTTGTGTTGAAGGGTTGATAATCCTTAATTTTGATTGAAAAAAGGTTGTATTCCTTTACAAATATCTTATCGTACTGTTGCATCTTAAGAAAGGCACCTAGTGGAACTGTTACGATTTAATAGTCTCTTTTAAATCGCTTTATGCAGTAGATCTATAACTATATTATCTGCAAATGAAATGAGCAAGATACAAAACTTTTGTTTTGCTTCTATTGCAACAAATTTAATTAATAAATAAAGCCATATTCAAATAATCATAATAATACTAAAAAACTTTTCTTAAAGGAATTTACTGCATTCCGAGGAAGTATAAGGAAGAGTTTTGTCCGAATTTAATAATAAGATATTAACAGAATATTTGAGGTAATTACCAGTTTATCTCTATTCATAATTACACAAAAACTGACGCACACATAAACATAGAATAATAATTGTTAATTTTCTAATTGTATTAGTTCCACCAGATATAATCGTTGATCAAAGTACGTCAGATGTCGTCACCAGGGAAGGGACAAATGTAACACTGTCGTGTACAGCCAAAGGCTATCCAGAACCTAATATCACTTGGAGACGAGAAGATGACGAACCGATACCGTTAATTCTAGGTATCGGCAAGAAACTTATGAGTAAGTTGAGGTTATGGTAATTTAAGATTTTAAGATTGATGTAATTCTAACTAAATTATTTTTAGAGTTAATACAAATGTAACTCGGAGTATATTTCTATTTGTGGAGATTGAAACATTGGACAAGATGAAAAAACAAACAAACATTACTGTAACAAGAGAAGCAAGATTTGGCCAAATATTTTACATTTTACTTGCATTTTGGACTTGAATTTGTTGAAAATATTATGTGACACATTGGCTAAACCACCAGGTCAGGCTTTAAAACTCGGATCTTTTGAAATGATCACCTGAAGAAGAGCATCCTGTCATCTAAACAACTACTCTTAACCAAATGAAGGAATTGCTTTCACTTTAATGACACATCTACAGCTGAAAGTGAGAAGAATGATCAGCATGTATCGCGGACTCAAACCTTGGACCTTACGATATGCAAATCAGCACGCTCGAAATATTTTGTAATTGCAAAAGTAGTCTTTTGGTAATGTCAAGTAAGCAACACCTCCATAAATCCCAGTCTATAATATGAGAAATACAGTCAAAATTTACAGAGTAGCAATTAATACAGAGATAGAAGGAGGATATTATACTATCACATAAATCAATTGTTACACCACACTTGTCGTAATATGGGCTAGGTATTTAAGAAACAAAAGCACTGTTTTTTTTGTTGTTGTTCATCTGAACAACACTTTGTGCACATAATGGGCTAAATGACCAATTCAAAATCCTAAATGGTTTAGCCATAGTTGACTCTAACTTTACTCTGCGGACCGGAGGGAAGAAAACGTGTTGGTAGTATCTGCTTCCCCAAGCAGCTACTTGAGTAGTGAGGTTATGACGCACCCGTAACTGAGAGTGTGTAGTGTGTTAGGTAGTATCATGTCTCGAACGCCAGACCCTCGGATCCTCAGTCCAATATGCTAATCAACAGACCATGGTCGGAAATTAAAATAATTAATACTTTTAAAAATTATGAATTATAATTATATATATATTATACTCACTCTAATTATTTGGTCATTTACCGAAAAAATGTCCATTTTGCGATTTGTGCATTTCAAAGTTATCAAATATCAAAATGAAATGTTATTTCTGTGTTTGTACAAAGTATTTTACTCAAACTATCAACTGTAGATTACCAAACAAGCAACAATCCAAATAAAAACTTACTCCAGTCTTCGTCTAAAACAATTTAAACAAATCAAACAAACAAAGAACGAAACAGAAAAGAAGAGTCAGTTGTTTTGGTCTTTGTGTAAAGCGGTATAATTAAATGGCGAATTGTTTGAAGTTTATCATCATAATCGTCATCGGGATTAAGTTTATGGTTTTAACCAGAGAGTGTTTGAAGTTACGGCACTTCCTGAACTGAGTTTGAAAATGCCGCTTATATGCGATCAGCAATTAATTGCAGGGTGTCAAAAATGTGCACAAAATGGAATACAAAGTTTGAAATAAAATATTTCTATTGAATGATCATAAAACATGTAAATTGTATTTATGAGACACATGTCATTGGTTAATTATTCCAGTATTTATTATTTATGCAATAACATAATGCATTGAGACCGTGATCTCATTTACAAAGAGGTGTCAAACATTAAATTTCAAGCAATTTTCAAATAATGTTCGTAAGGTTCTCGCCTTGTTAGTTAGAAAATTCACGTTCTTAGCGAAAACACTTGTTACGCCACTTTTCAATCTGTTCTAATATAGAGCTATCAATCAAAGTTGTTTTTAATTTTCACAAGGTTCGCACGTGTTTCACCAGGTGCCTCCATCTTCAGACTCGTTTGTTTATTTTTAAGCACAAAGCTACACAATGGTCCATGTATGTTGTGCCCACCACGGCTATCAAAACCTGATTTTGCGTTATGAGACAAAATACAAATTTGAACACGAAGTAAAAAGTCTTTATTCATCGAATTCGTTTTAATTTTCATTAGATTCGTCGTACGAGGGAGAGGACCTAAACATATCTCGAGTAACTCGTGTTCACATGGGAGCATACCTGTGTATAGCTTCCAATGGAGTACCGCCTTCAGTTAGCAGACGGGTCCTTCTTCACGTGCAATGTAAGTACTGCTGTAATTAGAAGTTGCCGGCTTTGATCACTATCTTATATATTTTGATTATCAGCACCATTGATGGTAATAAAATAAAGATATTGTTTTTGTTTATTTTCTTAATCAGGCACAGTTAACTACTTTAACTTTAGGAAGCGAAGTTAGCTAAATGTGTTTCCTTCTCCTTATTCACAAACATATTTTCTTTGATGTATAAGTTTTGATAGATAGAAACCGTGATGGTTATTTTAATTAACTTTAAGAAACATATCTTAGCCATCTGAATAATGGAACCGAAACTTTTTTCTTTCTTTCACGACATGTAATGAAACAGAAACTGTAATGAGTTAAAACGTATTTTGAAGGTCACGAAGTACAGAACTATAAGTATTAGCCAGAATAAGCTCTTAAGCATTATCTTTGTTTTTATAACAGAAAAAAATAGCTTCAAGTATAAAACTGATTACGTAATTGATTAAAATTTTTAAAATTATCATTACAAGAAACCCTTAGTAACTGAAAGCATTAAGTTGACGGATATATGCACTTTAACCTACTATGTTGTTATACCATTAAGTAGCGAATGGTATTTACAACAAGCTTTAATGAATAAAGAAAACAATTCTAGTAACATTTTGGAGTAAGAAAAGTGACCGATTTTCGTTTCTCTTTGAATTATGGAGAAGGCAAAGAGTTCAGTTTTAACTTACAGAATCATTATTTGATGGTCGTTTTCTTAAGAGTTATATAATAGAGCTTCCAGAATGTACAGAATAGAACTATTAGAGACTATTGAATTTTAACGACCTATGAATGATTCCATTATCCATACATTATGTATTTAAATACATTTCTTTCTTTTTAATGTTAAATAACAGTCATAATCTATTATATTCTGTTTTCGATGTTTAAGGCGCTGGATTTAAAACATAAGCAGTACAAGAAATAATATTGCACTCGCTTATACTATGGATGTTTCAACACTTTCTGCAGTTCCTCCAGTTTTGTGGGTTCCTAACCAGTTGGTTGGTGCACATGCTGGAGAAGAAATTGCCCTGGATTGCCACAGTGAGGCCTATCCAGTTTCCATTAACTTCTGGAAAAAAAGAGAAGGCGAAATGATTCTATCGAATGAAAAGTTTGACGTTTCATCAAAAGAAAAATCTTACAAAGTCCATATGAGATTATTAATACGAAAACTACAAGCAGAAGATTTTGGAACGTATAGTTGCTTTGCCAAAAATTCATTGGGATCCACAGAAGGTACCATTCGTCTTTATGGTAAGGGCCATGACTTTTTAAGTTTGCATTTATTAGCCATCACACATTTGTGATAATTTCTTCCCATAGAATAGAGATTATTTATCATAATACAGCTGAACATTTATATGACAGAAGAGTTCTATAGAGCTAAACTGTTCAAAGTTTTATATGTTTTTCTGATGTTATTTGCGTAGCCACAGTAGCGTTTCTAATGGACAAAATAGAAATGTTCGAACGTAATGTTACAAGATTTTTTTCCTGATCAGATAAAGATTTTTCATATTACAGAATTTAGGAAAAACAAGACATTTGTATATTTCATTGTCTTGTTTTTCCTCAGTTCTGTAATTATTGAGTTTCACCAAGTACCGACGGTTTCAAGTATCAATTTTTCATATTGTTTAGGTTACTTAATTTACAATGTTTTTTTCTATTCCCTTTTTTATATAACTATTTGCGCTAAAAACCTTTTTAAGAGTTGCTATGACAAATTTAACAAATATCATCTTCCATAAAATGTATGCGTTGACTAGCAAAAATATAACTACCACTGATAAAGAAGCTAATATAATTTTATTATATAAAATATATTTAATAAAATCTGGTTTTAATGCTCATTATGTTTAATAACATCAAAACATGTCATTATGTATTTATTTTGAAACGGCGAACTCGGAAAAATTATATTATTGCAGAACCTACACTAATCCATGTTTATTGTTGTGAAATAATGGCCCGTGATTGCAGTTTCCATTATAAAAGGACGGCGAGAAAAACCTTGACTAACTACCCACAGAGCATCTATTAATAGTGCATGTACGTCGACGTTTAAGACTTTCTTTAATTGAGACCAGTGGCACAGGAACTCATTGCAGCCACATCAGGGAATTTGACTAGTATATGATCGAATGGATTTGCTATAATTCCAGTTTCATCGTACAACTTTCTCGCCATCCATTGATTTCAAGAGTGGCTGAAAGCTAATGAGCTGATTGGCAGTACCAAGAAATACTTCCAGTTTCATGTAATGTTTTTACGAACAGGGTTATCTTTCGTAAGCCTGATCTGCTCGTTATGAATTTGGGCAACTTGGTAAGAACTCTAAATGCTGTCACCATTGAAATATTATGTAAATTGAGAAAACGGAGGTCACACTGGACAAATGGAAGTCTGGATAAAAGAGGGTGGAAGTATGGAAGTGCTAAAGTATTTGAAGACGACAGACGTTACTTAAATCAAATTGAAATGATGGTTATTACTAGAAGAACCTTTAGAAGATTATTGGAGGAAGAAGAGCTTGTACAAAAATTACTCAACTGTAAAATGATAGTAAAAGTAATAGTATTAAAATCATCCAATTCACAGTGGATACCTGCTGATAAATTAAAAACAATTATTAAATACATTATACTCAATAAAGTTGTAGCGATAGGACTCCACATTGAGAATGGAGATGGGGCTCTGGATTTCGTTGGGTTGTGATTTAGAACCCATTGCATATCTAACACTCCGTTTCAATGAATATTATTGAAGGCTTCCAGCTTTCAAATGTTATGTTTTTTTAATCCCACCCATTTGACTGCATTAAAATATCTGGCGAATTAGAGAAGTGATATATTCAGCAAGAATCCAGTTGGGTTTTAATTACAGTATAAGATTTGGTTTGGTTTAAATTTCGTGGAAAGCTACAAAAGAGCTATTTACGCTAGCCGTCCCTGATTAGCAGTGATAGACTAGAGCGAAGGCAGCTAGTCAACATCACCCAACTCTTTTAATACTATTTTACCAACGAATAATTGGATTGACCGTCACATTATAACGCCCCCATGGCTGAAAGAATGAGTATGTTCGGTGACGTGGATTCGAACCCACGGCCTGCACAGTGTAATGAAATAGATATAACGTTACATAGAATATATAGACATTATTTCAATATTTCTAACTATTACACAGTTCCGCAGTTTAAAGCACACTCATACACACACACGCATATATATACACACAGATTTTTGTTTTGAATATTTCATAGAAATTGATACAAATTATTATATTGGTTATGATTTAGTACAGTTATTCTTAATGATGGTCTGCGGAAACATCCAATAAAGAATTTTAAAAATGTATTGTAAAAGATTCAATTATTTTAAAAGCTATAACTTGTAAATGCGTTAGGAGTAGTTGAAATGTTCATTGTAAAATAAGTGAGCTTTCACTTCAAAGCTTCTTGCAGAAGTTAGATTAGGAAAAACTTTTTCGTTAATCGAAACACCCCCTTTATTATCATTGCCAGCTGGATCATGGTCCATAAGGTTTTTACAGAGAGCTTGCAACAACTAGTATAGTATACTAGTATTAACTTTAAGTAAAGGTAATAGACAAATGATTTTTCGAGCAAATTGTATTGTTTGTTTTTGTTTGTTTGATTTTTTGAATTTCGCACAAAGCTACACGAGGGCTATCTGCGCTAGCCTTCCCTGATTTAGCAGTGTAAGACTAGAGGGAAAGCAGATAGTCATCACCACCCACCGCCAACTTTGGGCTACTCTTTTACCAACGAATAGTGGGATTGACCGTCACATTATAACGCCCCCACGGCCGAAAGGGCGAGCATGTTCGGTGTGACGGGATTCGAACTCGCGACCCTCAGATTGCGAGTCGAGCGCCTTAACCACCTAGCCATGAAATTGTATTGTATTTTTTTCCACGTAAAGAAAACGAAGCATAAAAAAGGTACGTTATTCGAATTAATACAAGCAGAATAAATAGTAACGATGAATAAAGCAAAAATGGTTTATTTATTTTTGTTTTTCAGAGATACCAACGTCTACATCTTTCTCCAGAGACACAGCAGAGAAGTTTAAGCACATGAACAGGGGTGAGTTACAAAGTTCGTAATGAAATATACATCATGTATACTTCATGTATACATCAAATATTCGCAAGTTTCATGTTGAAAAACAACAACATTATATTAGTATACTTAAGATTATGAATTAATCTTCTTCTTTTAACTTACTGTTCATTTCTGTACATTTGTCTTGCAATCTTAGGCTGGTATTATATATACATATAATATCTTATCGTAACACTTTGGTCACATACCCTGGTTTTAGCTTCCCTCATGAGCTAGATTTTATTGTTGTCCACACCCCAACTGTATAAATGGAGATTGAGCATCTTCATCATATGAGTTTGATTCATTTACTACACTGATATTGTGCTACCCCTTCCAAATTAAGAGAAGACAAAGTTTAAAAGTAAACTAAACACCTTTTTTGATGTGTTCACACTATCCAATATTAGCATAACAAACGCTTTAGGTGTGAACATAAACTTTAAGAAATTAAAATTCACGCACAAGAATTAGAAATAACAAAGAATCAAGTAAAAGTGATTAGTGCCAGCTGGTTCCTCCCCGCAATCGCTGGTTCGTCTGTGCACTGACGAACGTGCGACGATAGGACTCCACAATGAGAATGCGGAGGTGCTCTACTTGCTTTGTAATACTTAGGACTTGTTAAATTTTTTGTGTTTAATTTAGAACTACGTCTAATTTCAGTTTTCGTGTGTACCATTTATTTTGTAAAAGTGGGCTTATTTAATTAACAATAGAGAAATCTTGTGATTCATTTTCTTGATGACACACTTACATTTTGTCACGACATGTATTTCTCGGGTATTACGAGTCAGCTGTTTCTCATACACTTGTTACACGTTGCATTTTGTATTTTCAACTTGAACAGTATGGGTTATAACTCAGAGACACCCAAGGATTTGGGTATAGACGTCACCAATTTTGAACTAATGCTCAGAGGAAGATCATCTAGTCAGCATCATCTGCTGCCATAAGAGTTTTGTCCGGCTCTTTGAAATGAATAATGGAATTTAGTGTCAGAGCTCGAACCTTGGACTCTCATCCCGGCAAAAAAAACAAAACAGAAGACCACACCCAATGCTATTATAATGTCTGTTGGACATGTTGCTCAAACAAACGAATAATAAACACCGAGGAAAACAAAGACAAAGGTTTCTGTTTGTAAGATAATTTTCTATACTTTTAAATATTGTTGCTAAGTGCTTTAAGCCCGGCATGGCTAGGTGGTTAGAGTACTCGAATCGTAATCACGGGTTCGAATCTCCGTCCCACCAAATATTCTCGCCTTTTCAGCCGTTGGGGCATTATAATATTCAATCACACTATTGGTTGGTAGCTCAAGAGTTGGCGGTACCTTTCCTCTAATCTGACACTGCTAAATTAGGGACGACTAGTGTAGATAGCACTCGTGTAGCTTTGCACCAAATTCAAACCAAACAATGCTATATGTATATTTTTTCTCGAGTTTGCTATACTATTTGTAAGCATTTCATGTGTCAGCTCATGCCTGTAAAGCTTCTTTGATTTTAACAGATTTTCCAAAGCACCAGAGCCTCGGTTCGTCAAAATCTTCTAGGAAATTCAACATAGAAAAAGGACTGCCCTCTGTGGAAGGTAGAATTTGAATAAATATTTTTTCTCAAAATATAGTTGTACTTCTCTATTACATATTTATTGATTCTTTTTATGACAGTGAATGTGAGTCTTAACAGTAAGTTTGATATATACACTTTCTACAAACATAATACAAAAATTATGTTAAACTTAATATATAAAGAAAATAGAACGTCATATAACAGCATCACTGCAATAAACCTTCGATGGTTTTCTGTTCCCACATATGTTCTTAATGTTATAATACAACGTCACCACTAAAGCTTGCAAGGAGAAATTATATCTGACAGAAGATGTATTTCTATAGCTGTATGTGTGATACTCCTTGCTGCTGTATCTCTCTCTAGCGCTTTATTTTTTTACTTTTACTTGCAACTATTTACTTTTCAACTTTTTAACATATACATATATGTATATATACAACACAAGCACATGTATGCAATACAGTGTATGCTGTTTATACAAAATATAACTTCCTCATACACTTCAGATCTTTTGCTGCAGTTCACAGGGTTGACTACTTTATATTAAAGCAATTTTGGATCATCGCCACGCTGTTACAGTTCATGTCGCCACGTCCGGTTATTGTTTAACTGACGACCGCGCATTTTTACAATAGTCCTACAGCGAGCGTTGTTTCCATTTCAAAAAGCTTTGTTATAAGACTGTCATATTCAAAGAACACCCATCCTTTCTGCTGGCTGAACATAACTCATCTAATGTTTGAGGATGACGATGTTTCAGCAACCATTTCAACATTCCAACCTAAAAAAGAAATCCAGTATGTCTCCTTATGAAATAGCATGAATACTCTCTTCATTCTAGAACTGCTTGAGATACGCGACATTTGGACGAAATGTGTGACTAGAAGCCTTATCTTGGTGAACCCATACCTTGTTGACCTCATTTAAGTACAAAGTAGGTAAAAAATGGACCAGAACATTTGTTTCATGGTAAAAAAAAAGAGCTCATCGGACTTTAGTATCCATTGTTTTAATCCCCAACTTTCTCCTGGTGATTTACTTGTGAATTTCCTTATTTCATCAAAAACATGCATTTCAGTGCAGAAAATATGACGTATAGACCTAGTCTATTTTTGATTCGCAGCTTCAGTGGCAGTAAACTAGAGATTAGTTTCACTAAATTCACAGTTCTTCAGTGCTGCTTGCAAAAGCATAGCAAATTAACAAAATAGGTCTCATAGTAGTGAAATACAAGAAATTTGTTTGAACTGAGGTATAGTTCTTTACCTACCACTACTAAGTTAGCACTATCTGGCGGTATTAAGTCCAACCAGCAATGCAGTGTGTTGCATGAGTGCTACTAATTAAATAGATATTTTACTGTATGATTGCTAATCTCCCAAAATACAAGGGCCATGCGTGTCCTAATGGTTAGTTTCATGAAAACAGTTCAGTTTAAAACGTTAAAACACTGAAGACATTAAGTTGAATAATTATCCGTTATTATGACAAAAAATATGATCTTTGTGTAACACACTTTGTTAGAAGCTGTTAGTATAATACAGAAAAAAGTTTAGTTTATACCCGATAAGGCTTTAAAAGAAAATTCACTAAATTTGTTTCAACAGAAAAGTACCAGCGATATAATGTCGAGATGGAACGCAGTGTATAAAAACTACATTTTAACATTGTTTGGCATTGGAACGTAAGGGAATATGGATCAACCTTGGTTATGAGAACCATCCAGAAAGATACCTACAACTCGCCTTTCCCCAGCCATCATAAGCAAAAGCTATGTAATTTAGTGTTTTAACCTTTTAAATTGAGCTCTTTTCATGAAGGTAAAACATTCAGAAGAAACATTTTTATGAGCTTAATTTTCTTTGGTATTGTGTTAACAACTTCCAACAAAGACCATATTTTTGTCATAATAACGGATAATTATTCAACTTAACGTCTTTAATGCTTTAGCTTTTTAAACTGCGCTATTTTCATGAAGGTAAAATATTCAGAATAGAATCTTGAGACAAAAGAAATAAAAATTTGTTTCTGTTGAAATAAATTTAGTCAAATCTTCTTTTAAAGCCTTAGGGCTATGAGCTTTATTTTCCTTGATATTGTACTAACAACTTACAACAAAGAGTGTTATATATATATATATATATATATATATATAAAGACAATATTTTTTGTCATAATAACGGGTAATCAATTATGACGATATACCACATGTAATCCAAACACCTGACTTTTTAGGCTATTAGTGATGAGTAAAGGACGATGCATCCAAACCAAATAAATCTAACAATGATCATGGATCTCTTCAAAAAACGTTTGCTACTGGCCTTAATGTTCGTTGAATCTTACCTGTTATAAAACGCCAGAATTTGCTTACCGTGCCTGGGGTAGGAATTGTTATAGGTTTCTTTCTGGATGCTCCTGATACACCTGGTTCAGCCATATTCCGTTAATATTTAATGCCGAACAATGTAAATATGTAGGTTTGACATACTGCGTTCTATCGCAACTCTACATCGGCTGTGGTTGTCACGTGACTAACTGATTTGCATTTTCAATATAAATCTTCTTGATATAATGTACTCAGTTCGATATAAGAACGTTGCACAACAATACACTATCCAATTACGCAAACTTGACATTAAAATTTCGAACAGAAGTCTGTGTCTCTAAAAAACAAGTAATTCAAGTAAAAAATACAAAGACCATTATAAGGTACTAGCCAATTAAAATTAGCAAGATTAAATCATAAAAAAAATTAAGAAATATAACATCGGAGTTGAACTTAATCAGCTGTTTGTACCGATCTAATTATCATGAAATATAGTACTATTAATGGTAAATTATTCAGTCTAATTAGTATTTGTATCAATTATTCAACATAGAGTCTTTAGTGTTTTAACTTTTTATGCTAAGCTATTTACATGAAGGCAAAACATTCAGAAGAAATTCTTAGACAAAACAGACAATTAGTTTCTGTTGAAATAAAGTTAGGCAATTTTTTTTTAATCCTTAGCGTGCATGAACTTTACTTTTCCAACAAAGAGACCATATATTTTGTCATAAGTACCAAGTCTTGTACAGTTTGAATAAAGTTGAAATACTGTTTACAGTATACATTATGAATTTGATTGTTGAAGTGTGAGAAGCACAATTACAAAGATGAATCAAGGTTTCAAAAAGACCTCATATTCTTAACGGTCTCTGAATATAAACTTCCATTCTTGAAGGCTATTCTTTCCATTCTATCCCAATCAAAGAATGCTCTACATTCCAAAATTTTGCTTATACACCTATTTTTAATCTAGTAATTGTTACATCCTTAAGCTTTGGTTTCCTACATTTCTTACTGTAAATTCGTCGTTTAACCATAAATAATTAACTAGACGATTTCATTTTCTAAAGATTTTGCTAAAGGAGTATTTTTTTACGTATAGAAAAATGCTAAACATATACGAAATAGATTACATAAGAAAAAGTTGATTATTTGACTTTATACCGTCTTTACGTGTATTTAACATTCCAATTTTACACCCAGAATAAAATAAAGTAGAAAAATTCGTAACAAATAGGAGAACAGCTAAACCTATCTTAATATGCAGAATTAGAAAATGCTGCTGAATGGTAAGTTGGAAGTAACAAAGGTCTTGTTTAGTCAGGCTTAAAACTTTTTGCAACGGCTGTCGCAAATAAATACGTTCTACAATGCGTAAGAACTGCGTGAAAATTCCTCCAAAAGTGAGTAATAAATCTTGGACTTTAAGAAATCACTCCAGTTATGTGATAAGAGTTTAAATATTCTGACGGGCTTGGATCCTTTACTCGAGACAACTTCTTCTTTGATATGGAAAGTAAACTGTCTGGAGAAAGGAGTTTAGACAGTCGTCTTGTATTCAGTTTATTTATCCAGAATGAAATTTTGGGTAATATTTTTGATAAAAATAAATATATATATATATATATAAATCATTTATATCAGAACAGGTACCTGCTAGTCTGTCAAAGCACAGCATCAAAATATTTTTCTAGTGAATTTCAACAGCCCTAGTCTTTTTTTTGCATTTCATATCTTTTTCGGAGATAATCTGGTTTATTTGAGTATTATCCTTTAAATACACATTTTAAGATTGTTCAGCACTCAACAGTGTAAAGAACATCGTTCATAAAACTGAAAAAATAATCAAAGTGTTTCTGATATGTCTTTGAGTAGACACCATTGTTATTATGTTTATTCAGCTATATATATAAGATTTGTCTCTGTCTTATAAGATATTTAATTTCCTGTACTGTTGATATAAAAGAAACTTGAGTATATACATGGATAAGAGTCTTTCAAGTAGATCATTAAATAATGAATTTATCTTTCAAATATGTAATAAAGTATACAGTATTGGAAATAATTAAGGAAATGCTAATGTGATACACATACAGGAGTCATAAATAACAGACCTGGTATAACCCGGTAGTTAGGATGCTCGATTTGCAACCTGTGGGTCGCGGATTCGAATCCCGTTACCGAACATGCTCGCTTATTAAATTCTGTGAGAATTATAATGCGACTGTGAATCCCACTATTCAATTAAATAGCATGAAAGCTGGCGATAGATAAGGGACGACTAGTGCAAATAGCTCTCGGGTAGCTTTGGGCGAAATTCAACAAAAAACAAAGAAAGCAGACACACACAATGGGTAATTGCAACTAAGTATCCAGTGATTGTACAATATACAATACATTATTACAGAAAATGCAAAAAGAAAAGCAAATAAGTTTAACAGTGCACAAGTAATTTGTATTTGCTCTAAACAGTGTTTTATGATACCATACGTTAATCAATGTATTATTGTGAAATATATTGTTCCAAATGTCCTGTATTACTAACCACAATTTGGTGAAATTGTTTTATTGCAGTTTCACATTTCCATTTTCCATATAAGCCCATAGAAACTTGATAATATTCACACTGAGATTTTGTGCAGAACAAACGATGTTTCCAAGTGCTCCATGTCTCTTATAATATC